ACATTGTACAATTTCTTGCGTATTATAAACTTTTATTGAATATTGCATCTTATAATATAATATTCTCCAAATAAATATATCTCGTGCTTCGCACGGGTCACGTACTATATATATCCCGTACATTTTCTTTTATTCATGTATATAATTATAAGCCTAGATAAATAGCCTTAAAATTGTGCACCCCGTGCATCGCACGGGCTCTGTACTAGTTTCTTTTGAAGACAAGGAGACATCAATGTTTATTAACCAGATTGTCGAGTTTATTTGACTTTTTTCTTTCATTGCTTTATAGATTTATATGGGTTTTTATTTTTGCGAGATCTTATTATTTTGTTATTGTTATTAACTAACGTAGGTAATTTCAATATTTATTCTGATGATTTTACTTTGATTTACATTTTGATACGAAAAATCATTCTATTAAGACCGTCTCCAACCGAGACGTAAAACCCATTTTTTGCAGTAGAAATCTCTTCAACCGATACGAAAAATCATTCTATTAAGATCGCAAAATGCGTTGATTCTCTTCTCTCTCCTGTTTTGGACGCAAATTTGCATCAGATGCAAAATTTTGTGTCTTATCTCTTTCATCTTCCTTACTTTTTGTTTTTCATTTTAGTCCCAACCTTTTTATTTTATATCATAATAATTAAATTAATGAATATTAATGTTATATTTTTTCAAAATAATAATAACAATGTAAAATACTAAAAAAAATTAATTTCATAAAAATTAGATAGTATAATATTTAAAAAAATATTATATTTATCATTTAATTTTATATATTTCACAATAATAGTGTAAAATATACATATTATTTATGGTGTTTTTAATATTATATTGTGTGTTGTAATTTTTAAATTTTAATTTTTAATGAAAATTTATTTATCCAATTTTATTATATATATGATTATTACTTTATAATTAGTTTATTACATAAAGTCCAAATTGAATTGAAATAATAGTGTGGTTTAACTTGTAAAGTTGTAAAATATGTGGGTAGTATTGAAAAGTTGTAAAAGTTGATGTAGAAGGGACTATTCTTTTGGGTTGGAGAATGAGTTTTTCGGTTGGAGATGAATTACTACAAAATGGGATAAGTACTGCAAAATGGGTTTGAGTATGGAGTATTCGGTTGGAGATAGCCTTAAAATCGCTATGTTCTATTTTCGTTTTATTAGATAAATTGAACTGATGGACTGATGAAAAACTTTTGATTTCATTAAATATGATTTTTGATTGTCTCTTCTTTTATTTACCAGTTTCTTCTTTTATTATTAATCATTTCATTTTGTGTTGTATCGAAGTATAGAGTTAATTAAGGGCAGAGTGTCAATTAGTCATTTGATTGAGATATTTTTCCCTTATATAGTAGATATTGGTTTTGGTTTTTGTTTNCATATTCATCTGAGTTCTCACCACGAAATTCCAAGCCACTCGCCGAGCTCCTCCAGGTACACATGTTTTTTACTTTCTTTTAGTTAGTTATATGTAAATTAGCTTCGTTTGTCCAGTGTTCTAAATTTTTAAGTTTTTTTTTCAACACTTTGATGTAAATATTCTTAATTCAATACTTGTGTAGTACATAGGTGTTGTACTAGTATAAATTATATTAAATCAATCATTTAACTGGTTTCAGTTTAACATCCTTACTAGTACAATATCCGTGTATTATACGGGTGCTGAATTAGAAATCTTTTGTAAAAAATATTAAATTTTTTATTTTTTAAAAACTAAAATAATTTAATTTTATATAAAACATTACTTTGAGTTTTAATTAAATTGTCAAATTATATATTTTTAATCATAATAATTAAACACCCGTACATTAAATGAAAATGTCAACTCGTGTTGAATTTTTTTACTTATATCATATAAAAATATTGATATTATTTACTATTACATAAGTACAATATATATCTTAAATAAATAGACAAAATATGGTGATATGTATATGCATAAGTGTAGAATATGTTTATTTAATATTAAACAAAATAGATTAATTTTTTTACTTATTTAGATGTCTAATACATCAACTGTCGTATCAGTCGTGCCTCACAATTTTTTAACTTTATATGTAATTTTAGAATTTATATAATATTTTTATTACATTGACAACATAAATACCATTTTTAAAAGAATACATACTAATTTCTATTACTTTATAATATAATTTATAGTTTTATTTGATATAATTTAATCTAGTTTGATAAATAAATTTAAATTTTATTTATAAGGATATATATTACTATTTTGTATTTTATATATATATATATATATATATATATAGGGATTGGTTTAAATGCATCCGCTTATTTAAAGTGAGGACGTGAGGCTCATTCCTAGCCACAAAATTTAGATCTTGATTTAAATAATAATTCTTTATTTTTATTATTTAATTTTTTATTTTTAATTATTTAATTATTATTATGACCATTGACCATTGACTCCAGCGTTGACCGTTGACTTCCGGTGTTGACTTTTGGCAAAAATCGTTGACTTCCGTCGTTGGCCGTTGACTCCGACGTTGACTTCCGGCGTTGACCGTTGACCATTTGTCTTTTGTTGTTATGTTATTTCTTTCTTGCTAGGTTAGTTGTGTTTTGTTGCTAGGTTAGTTATTTGTAGCTGCTAGGTTAGTTGAGTTTTGTTGCTAGGTTAGTTGTCTTAAGTTGCTAGATTATTTTTTTCTTGCTGCTAGGTTAGTTGTCTTTTTCCTAGGTTATTTCTTTCTTACTGCTAGGTTAGTTGTCTGATGCTGCTAGGTTAGTTGTATTTTGTTGTTAGGTTATTTCTTTCTTGCTGCTAGGTTAATTGTCTTTTGTTGCTAGGTTATTTCTTTCTTGCTGCTAGGTTAGTTGTCTTTTGTTGCTAGGTTAGTTCTTTCTTGCTGCTAGGTTAGTTGTTTTTTGTTGCTAGGTTAGTTATCTTTAGTTGTTTGGTTAGTTGTGTTTTGTTACTAGGTTAGTTGTCTGTTGTTGCTAGGTTAGTTATTTGTAGCTGCTAGGTTTTTTTATTTTATTTTATTTGCATAGATCAAGACCCCAAAACTGAGGACCAAGATATCAACATACTACAGTCTACAAAGTGTCACAAGCAAAACAAAAACAATAAAAGAAAAACCAAAAAAAAGAAAAAATAATTCAAAGTCTGTCATCGAGCTAACAGGTGCCCGGAAGCAAAGGTCTAATCTAAATAAAGCAATAGCCTAATCTACTGAAAGCGGAAAGATGGATATCTAAGCTGGTCCATCCGTACAAGCGTGCGAAGTCGGAATGGAGCAGTGGTGCTTTGAAACGTACGTATGGGAGTCTGGTGTGGTGGCGCCAAGGCTGGCAAGGTAGTTCGCAGGTCTGTTCCCCTCACGAAAAATGTGCGTGATCCTGTGATGGACAGACCGGAGTAGAGCTCTAATACGCATAAGCGGGTGCTGAATCTGCTACCAGCCCTGGTGGCCCGAAGTCAAGAGGGTGGCGACAGCCGCAGCGTCTAGCTCAATCCAAATGTGGCTAGAGAGGTGGACAACAATCTGAAGGCCGATCTGTAGGTTAGTTGAATTTTGTTGCTAGGTTAGTTGTCTTAAGTTGCTAGGTTATTTTTTCTTTCTGCTAGGTTAGTTGTCTTTTGTTGCTAGGTTAGTTATCTGTAGCTGCTAGGTTAGTTGTGTTTTGTTGCTAGGTTAGTTGTCTTTTATTGCTAGGTTAGTTCTTTTTTGCTGCTAGGTTAGTTGTCTTTTGTTGCTAGGTTAGTTGTATTTTGTTGCTAGGTTATTTCTTTCTTGCTGCTAGGTTAGTTGTCTGATGCTGCTAGGTTAGTTGTATTTTATTGCTAGGTAATTTCTTTCTTGCTGTTAGGTTAATTGTCTTTTGTTGCAATGATATTTATTTCTTGCTGCTAGGTTAGTTGTCAACGATCAACGCCGGAAGTCAACGATTTTCGCCGGAAGTCAACGGTCAACGCCGGAGTCAACAAATAATTATTTTATTATTTAATTAATGTATATTTTAATTGATTTTCATCTAGACAAAATGAGTGGCTAAGATTGAGTCTCACGTACTCATTTTAAGGAGTGGTCTTATTGGATCCGTCCCCTATATATATATATATAAAAATAAATAGTAAAATACAAACGGAGTTCATAATATCAATTCAAATGCAACACACTAATTAGAATTTTTTTTTTACAATATTAACCCTATTTATAGATGTTACGGAAACGATCGAGATGGGATATGAAGAGACACTGTGTATTAAATAGAGGGGTAAAAAAGGAAAAATATGAACAAAATATCTAAAACGATATTTATTTTATCAATGATCAATTAAGCCAAAGTAACAAATAATAAAAATAGGAGGGAGTATATATTATATATTTTAGTATGACACATGTTTCTTGTGTGACTTATATGTGTTATATTATAATAAATTTTCTACCTTATAACATATAACTACATTAAACATAAATATATTAATTGATAAATTATTTTATTTTCTAATAAATTTTAATATATAATTTTATTATTATTATAAAAATAAATATAACTTATTTATATTATATATACAATATGATGTCAAATTGAAGCTCATCAAAAGATGATTAATTTGATATATTATATATGTAAGACCGATAAGAAATACAAAAGTTATCAACTTTTAAATATATTTGCAATTTATTAGTTATAATAGGAAATGATATTAAAATACAATTAATACAAATATTAATTTATATCCAAGCCTAACTCCAAAGCATGATTTTTTGTCAAATAGGGATTCCGAAGCATAAGAGTTTGCCACGTAGATTCAGCGCATTCTGAAATTATATATAGAGGGGATTGCATATATAAAATAAATAAATAAATTTATTATTTTACTATAAAATCTAAATTATCTATTAATAGTAACACAATAATCTTGTAATGGCTTTTTAACTTACTATACTTTTTAATATATTGGAAAAACCCTTCGCCAATAGCTTATAATATATCATCCGACCTTATCTATTTCCATATCCCTATCCCTATTTTTTCCCCCAAAAACTTCCCCATAAATCCACTAAATCATTAACGGCCCTTCCTTTCAAAATACCGTTGCTCCCCAATTTGGTAAACTCAGACACAAAGCTTAATTGCCGCCAAAGATGGAGTTACAAGGTAAAGGTACACTCATAATTATTCCTTTTCTTACTTTATTTCCCCGTTCTTTTTTTTTTTTTTTTTTTTTTCATATTGCGTTTTATGTAATTTGAGACATAAAATTGCTGTGTAGGGCACAGAGGTTCCAATAATCCCAAAGCGATTCTTTCTTCTCTACTGAACAAGAGAGAAAAACTTCAATACGAGCTCAAAAGTGTCGAGAAGCAGGTCAATTTTTTTTTATGAGTTTCTTTTTCTTTTTTATTTATTATTATTCAGGGAATTGGTTTTCTACTGATAAAATTGTGTTGGAATATCACTTGTGAGTTGTCATACATTGATTCTATAGGAAAAATAAGTCTAGTATATAAGTTTAGTGGGCTACTCATGGTTTTGGGATGGACCTCACTAAGGTGCAACTAGGCTCACCCTTTTATCGTGCGCTTTATCTGGTGGGACCGCACCATCTTCTCTCCGTTCTCACAAATTGTGCTCTAATTTATGCATTAAGCACTTTTAGATAATTTAAGTTCTGAACTGTATTATTGAATTTTCCCTCTTCTGCATCTTTATGATGCTGTTAATTGAACAGCAAGTGGTACTTTATAATGGAATTCTTGTACGGGGATTTTGTTTATTTATTTAATTTTGTAAATATGGAGAATTATCCGTTTTGTTCCACATGGTTAGTGCAAAAATCGAACTGAACGAGCAGACCTTTGAGCATTTCGCACTCGTGTTGGTTTATGTTTGGACATTGTTCGTATTTGTTCGTTTTATTCGAGCTAAAATTCATGTTGGAGCAAGTTCGTCAAAGTTCGAGCTTGTTTGTGTTCAAGTAATTTAGTAAACAAGATTGCTAAGGTATCAATTTTTCTGATACTTTATAATTTTTTATTATACATATAAATAGAAAATAAATAATTATATATTAAATTATTGTCTGCGAACCTTATTGAACGTATACGAACATGCTCGTGTTCATTTGAATAACAAACAAGCTTAAACATTCATTCACAGCCTGGTTTGATGGACAAACGAACAAGCTTTATTCAAACTCGAACAAGTTTTTGTTTGTGGATATTTGGTTATTTTACCTCTCTATTCCTGGTTGATAGGTATATGAGCTGGAAACAAGCTATCTACAAGAAACCAACACTTTCGGTAATGCATTCAAGGGCTTTGATGGATTTGTTTCTTCTTCAAAAAACACAGCTAAGTAAGCAGCTTATTTCTGATAACCTCAGTTTTTTAACACAATCTTAGGTGTGGGTTTCAGAAAGATGGAGTGGTACTCATCCATTGATTTTTTTATTTTTTATTTTTACTTTCTATATATTTATTTATTTATTGTACTTCATTCGGTATTGGTTTCAATCTCTATTTTAACAACTGTATCATTGTTTTTTCCAGCATAAAGAGGTCGAAAAGGTTTCAGCTTGAAGATAGAGTGTTCTCATTGTCCTCGGCCACCTCACCAGCGGTACAAATTGCAGATGGTTTCAAACAATTTTTTTATTCAATAGTTAAAACAAAAGCGATTTTCCGTGATATTTATTCGTTGTGGCTGGAATTTTTTGCCAATAGCATGCTGGAAAAATTGATTAGTTAGATAGTGTTCTTGCTTTTGTCCACTATTTTACACTGTTTCGTTTCGCTATTTTATTGGGGAAGTAAATCAATTCAATGACTCGCTCACCAACAAATGTAGCCATTTTTTTTATTTTCGAAAGATTCAATAACTAAACAAATAGCCTATGAATGAAGGTAATTTAACTAACGTACACTTTCTGCTATATTTTTAGGCAGAGGAGCTAAGAGTTGGCAAAGAAGGTTGGCCTTTCCTTCTCATTCTGTTCTTATTTCACATAAAGATTTTCTTTTCATTTGATTGATTAATCTTTTAGTTACATTTGTATTGCTGTTTCCATTTCTGTAGATGGAAAGGCAGACATGACTCAAGTTAGGCCGAAGGGCGGAGGCTTGGCAAATGTGGCACAGTGAGTAGACTTTCAACTGCTTTAACTGTAAACAAGTCAATGGCCAGTTTACTATGTGGAGAGCCATATTTTCTGTATCTACATGTTTGTTTGGTACACTTGTTTTTTGTCCAATTTATGGAGCTTGATTTCTGTCTTCAGGGGAAAGCAGAAGAAAGGAAGAACGGGGCAAAGGGAAGTGAAAAAAATCAGGTTCACAAGCAACTTAGATCGCGAGGATGAAGATGACCCCGATTTGAGGTAGTTCATTTGCTTGATATTCTTTCCAAAAGCTAGTTTGCTCAGTAGTTATTTTGGTAAAAATATTTTATTAATTTGAACTGGTGATGTCGTTCTTAGCAAAAATGTGTTGTGCTTTAGCTAGTGCTTTTTAGGATTATTTTTTTATAATGTAGTTGAGTTATGGCTGCACAATAATGGTAGGCGTGAGATTGGTTGTTGAAGTGTTGTTGTCTTTGGTTCCTCAAATTTACCTTCCTTTAGCTCTCTAGAGAGTTTAAGATTTAGATCGTTCTCTTCCATTTCTGGAATTAGAAAGTAACAAAAACTGAAGACAGGAGGAAATCAAGATTTTAAGGTATGGTTAAGAAATCATAGTTGAGGTTGAGGAAATAACTATTTTCTCCCCGCTCTGAACATGGACTACACCGCCAATTAGTGAGTTCAGTTTTTCACCTCACTATTTGCAAAACAAGTTATGCTATTAACTATGCGATAGACAGACGAACATAATTGATAAAGTGCGAAATATTTATGCGACAGACAAGCGAAGATTATTGATAAAATGTTAATTTTGGGCCCTCCCCTTTGGGGCCCCTCAGAAATTAATCGATGTTTCTTATCTTTAGGAAAAAAACACTTATTTCCAGAAAAGTTTCGGAACTTTTTCGAAAACAATTAACTTTGAAAATTTTCTTCGGATACTTACTAAAACTCTTTTTTTCTTTCTTTCTTAACCTAAGCTTCACCCTTAGATTTTTAGGAAATCACATCCCGAAACTTACTTTCTTTTCGAACCAATTAAGACAAGCAGAGCATATGAATAAGTCATTAATTGAAAAACAACTGGAGTCAAACTTTGTTTCAAAACATGAAAAGCTAAAACATGCTCAAAATTGTTTGCGGAAGCATTAAAATAATAGACATTCTTTTGACCACCACTGCTCCTCGTGTCCGCTGTCAGCATCTCAACCTGAAAAAATAATTATGGGGTGTGAGCAAAACAACTAGCTCACCGTGAGATCCATGCTATACGGTTATTCAATATAAATATAATATTTTCAGCATGAATAAGTAAATTGGTCTCATCTGGTTGCCTCTCACAGGCATCAGCTAGCCCTTCGCGGGCATATTACTGATCTTACCCCAGCTAGCCCTTCACAAGCATATCAGGAAAACTTCAGCTAGCTCTTCGCAGGCATATCACCGGCTTGCCCTTCGCAGTCATCTTATCATAGCTAGCCCTTTGCAGGCATATCACTAGAATACATCGGCTAGCCCTTCGCAGGCATATCACCGGCACATTGCATACATGAAGCATCATACCTTGGGTTTATAAGGAATAAACTATAGTATGAGAAACACCCCACCTTTTACTTCTGAAACTTATGCATGAAATGCAAGGGCTCGACTTCTCTTAATCTTCATTTAAATTATTTTATCTTATTATTAGGGCTTTAATTGAGATGCAGAAAGCCAAGCAATTTAAACAGATAGAAACACATAAGACAGGTAAATTAAATAGATAAAAACACATAATTTTTCCAAGTCTTTTTCTTGACTTTCCTAGGCTTGTCTAGGGTTCTCGGAACATTCTAAGGCTAAAAAAACTCTAAAACTTTTAATAAGATATCGACCTCTTATGAGTGAAATCAGAAGATGGAAACTACTTCCAATCATAAAACTTAAACTACTGAAAGCCGGATAAAACATCTATGCGCAGTCAATTTATTTTGAATATAGCTTTTGACGTAGGAAATATTTTGGACTGATTTTTGAAAATATAGAAAGTCAAGAGACAGAACTACATTTCTTGTTGAGACCTTAAACGCTTTCGAGCAAGTTAAAGGGATGAAAACTTGTCAAACTTAAACAACAATTCTACTGCCAACTTCATAGAAAACTGCTTGCGTGGTGTTCGTATTGCGAACGTAACTTCTTATATAACAAAGGTAATTGCATGATTCTTGCACCTACGGAAAGATAACAAAGAGACTTCAAGTCATATGAGGCGTTAAAAAACAAAAGACAAAAGTTCGAGGGTCAAAACAGTGTACGAACATACAAACAGAACATGGAAAATCGTAAGACAAAAATAAAATATAGTTCTCCTCTTTTCTTAACGCCTGTATTCTCAACTCTCCTAAGCAAAACATGCAATATAAACTGAGGTATAAACTCTGAAGATCACGCATAACATCCAGCTAATAACATGAATTTAGCTCAGCGATTAAGGCATCAAACATTGTACAAAACAGCACAACAAACATGCCTTCCATTTCTCTCTCTCTTTC